CACTGTCAGCTATCTGAATATTGAGACATTATACATATGCATCAGTGCAATCATATGAAGTAGAGATTGTGAAAAATTATCTTTATGTGTTTATGGAGACTAGTGGGATGCTGGGACTTTGATTCTAATTTTTTTATTTTTATTTTAAAGAGAATAAAAGCAATCAAAATAAACCAGAATAAAACCAATCAAAACAAACCAGTGTAAGTGCACAGGACTTCAAAACAGTAGGAGATCAACAATGGTTACCATAATGCTTCTTGTTGTCTTCAAAATAGCTACAGATACTTTCAGACATAGCAAATTTCAAATAAAGCAGAACAAAATAGAACCAACAAAAAAACAGTGAATGCAATAAGGGATTTCAAAACATGATAAGAGTAAATCCAAAATTGCTACCATAATATAACTTGTTAGCTTTGAAATAGCTGCCCATGCCATTGGATATAATAAAATCAAATAAAAAACCAGAATAAAACCCAGCTCAACAAAGCAATGAAAATGATTTAGGACTTCAAAACAAGATACTAGGGAATTAACAATGGCTACCACTTTCAGAAGGAGATGCACATAGATGCTACATTGTGAATTGCTGTCCTCTGACACATTAAATGCTACAAGCATTAAATTGCATTTTACCTCAATAGCTATCATTTCAGCTCATGTTTTCTGGTCAGCTAGTTGCTTATGGCGGGGGGAGGGGAGGGTGTTGGCTCTTCTTGTTTCCCAGTCTGTGTGCCAAAGCAACTGGCATCTGGCTTCCTCCCCAGTGGCCCATACATGGCACTGATTCACAGGGAGGGCTTGCTTCTTGGTGACTTCTTGTTCTCTTCCCCTGTAGTCCATGAATGTTGTTGACTCACAAGAAAAGGCTGGGGTCTGGCTGTCCTCCCAATGGTCCACACATGGCACCAATTCTCAGGGATGCCTTGTTTCTTGGTGACTTCTTTTCTCTTCCTGGGACTTCGCTTGTATAATAGCAGCCTCAGAAGCTCCATAATCTTAGGACCTGGTTGCTTGTTGAGTTTGAAATATTCCTTGCCAAATTAAATTAGTAAGAGGCCCTATATGAATTTATCTAGTAATGATCCAGATGCAAGATATTTAGAAGAAAAAAATAGCTTCCAGAAATAACAGAAATAGGCAACTTAGTAATCTTATTGGGGGAAAAACTCCTCTAGTTGATTGATAATTGGAGGTAAATACAACTGCAGTCTCTTCCCTCCTTATCAGTGAATTCAAATACCCAAAGCTTACAGGAAAATCCATAAAATAACTATAAGTAGTCAAAAATTATTCTCACCAGTGATTTTAATTTTATAAAGGTAGAATTTTGATTAAAATTCTACCTAGAATTTTGATTAATTGATTAATTTTGAAATTGAAAAGTGGAATTTCACTGTTTTTTGAACAAAGTACATAGAGGATGGTTTTCCATGCCATGAAATGAGACCTCCACAGCTCCTGTTGTGTGTGTCCTTAAGGAGCCCACTCTAGCTTCTAGCAGGTCCACATTTCCCCTCCCACTTCTACCTCCACTGACTATCGGGGAGTACCTCTTTCTTGTTCTTCTATGGAGTTTTCCAGATCCTTCTCTCCCTTGAAGACAAGATCCTCCATGAAGCCCCTGCTCTTCTTCTGCAGCATTTTTTCCTGGCATTGTCTTAATGAGTCTATTTCATCCTGAGTTTTTCATCCTGAGCTATGAGCTTTTAGTCTTACTTATCTTTGTGTCCCCACTGTCTAGCACCAAGGAGATAAAAACCTAGTAATTGTCAGATGAATGAGTTGCTTAACCCAAAGCCTAAGAGTCATCTTGATTCATTTTTCCCACAACTCACTGTTTACCTGGCCAATGTAAATGAGTTTTGTAGCTATCTTGAATGCCAAGCATTGGTGTCTTTCACCCATGGGACTATGATTGCCAACACCACCTCCCTATTGCTATTTTTTTTTTGCCTCTGTTCCACCCAGAGCCACTGCAGTTAACTATAAACAATAAAAACTAGACCTTCTCTTTAAGATTCCACATGACTGTCCATCTCTCTTACGCTGGTGACAAATTCCTTTTGCAGGCATATAAATCTCCTTAAATAGATTTGCAAAATCCAACAGTGGTGAGTCTAAATTCTGGCACACATTAGAATCACCTGGAGACTTTAGTTTGGATTCCAGTGCATATGCACAGGAATTTTCGTCAAAATCCCCAGGTGGCTGGAAAGTGTAAGCTCTGTAGAAAACCATGCTAGTCTCTGCTCTCCCCTCTGCATTCTTGCTCTTATTACAGCTGCATTCCTACAGCAAGAACTCACTGTTTCCTTCTCCTGGGTCTTCCCATGGCTGGTTCTGTTTTTATTTGCATCCTGAAGGAGACTTCTTGACCAGACCAGTCCTCTTTTACCATATGACAGCGCTTCATTTTATTAAAGCACCTGTCAATATTTTGCAGCCTGCCTCCACAAATGAAATCTCATGATGGCAGAATATCATCTGCTAGTTTTCCTTCTCAGAATCCTCTAGCGTGATAGTACCTGCTTAACAAATTAAAGAAAGAAGGAAGGAGTGTAGGTGAAATGAAATTTGGATTGTTTTGTGAGAAATGGAGGAGCACCTGCTCAGGGCTCCCCAAATACCAATTCTGCAGCTGTGAGTTGGCAGCAGTGCCCCGAGGTAAGAGCACGTGTGGGCATGGCTGGACTGGTATGAACTGAAGCCCTACTCTGACACTCACTCATTCACAGTGAACCTGAGCAGGTAACCCTCACTCTTTTTGGAAGTCAGTGATAAATTGAGATCATGTAGGAAGGCATCAACAAATGCTGGTAGTATCATTACAAACCATTAAACTGACCGGTCAGGTGTGGAACACAGTTCCCTCTCTTCCTCATCAGTTTTCCTCCTAAAGTGAGAAAAAGCTGCTCCATGCTACGTGTTCTTTACATTCTGATGAGGTCAGGACTATTCACGTTGCACTTGCTGAGGAACACCTCCCTTTTTAGCCACCCCTGCCCCTCCCCACTAGGAAGACCCTTGCTATTTATCAAAAGGGCTTGGTAGTGTTAAGAAAACTCAAAATCAATAGCACACAACATGCAAGAGCTTCCTCAGGGCATTGAGGTTGAGCCTGGCACCCAGGGGGCCCTCATCGATACAAGCAGCTTGTTTTGCACTAACCATGGGCTGCTGGGCCCAAAATTTAACCTTCTGTTGCGGCACAGCAGGCAGAAGAGAGTTCAGAAAGCAGAAGACAGGACGTGTCAGATGGCTCCTATTTTTTGCTTTCTCTTAGAAATAAAACCAAAGCTTATTTGTGGGATCCGATACTCTTTAACAAACAAACTGGAAAAAAAAGTGTAATTTCAAGAACAGTTGACAAACAACTGAATTGAGATTATGAAAACTGTATGGGCGCAATTTGTCATGTTTTTAGTCTCTTAGGCCATAGTCGATGTTGGCCTCACTCTAATTTTGAGTAGTTCAGAGCAGTGTTAATCCTGATTTGTTTTTACAGAAGGTTTCTTCTCCCTGCCTGAGTAAAAGTCATAGAGCAGTCAAATATTTACTTACCCAGATGTTGACTCATTTTAGATAATACTCTTTGAGATGTTGCTTGTTCAGTCTGTCTGGAGCAGAGGCCAAGGTGCAGTACAGGACCAGGCATCTTAGGATCATCTCAGCTTTGCTGATGTATCATGTTCCCCTTGCTCTTACAGCCTTTCACTTTTCTAAACACTAGTAGCATTATCCATTAAATGGGAATATTCTGATTCATCTTTTTTCTTGTTTCTCCTTTGAGTCTTGTCTTTAAAGTTAAGTAATGTGTCCTAATGTTATCTAATTGATATTACATAACTAGAGAGAATACAAGTTTAGCTATGGCATTGTTTTCTGTATCATAAATCAATAACTTCATTCTATTTCTCCGGGGCGAGGGGGGGGACTTCTTAATAGCCTTGTCTCCTGCATATTCCTGGGAAATTCTGCATACTCTCAAGCCTAAGAAATCTTCCAATGCTCCACTGGGTGGACGTGCAAGGGTGCTAGCCTAAGGGTGGAGGACAGATAAATAGAAACATATGCAGGTCTTCTTTGGGAACAACAGGGTCCTACTCTAACTCTTATGTTTAGCAATGTTGCTGAGCTGTCTCACTGCTTGTGCTGAATGAAAGCAGTGAGCTGGTCATTGGCCAGTCCAGTATTCAAAAAACATGATAGCAGCTCGGATACATGTCTATGCAACAAGCACCCCGGGAGCATTTACAAGTACCAGATCTTTGGTTAATCTGTGGGCTCATATTCCCAGCAAAATTCCAGAGTTATCACAAATGGCTCCATTTCCACTATTGCAAAAGGGTCCTAGGTATATGCTATTTTTGACCCATATTAGTTTTAAGTCCATGATGATTGGTAGTATATATTTGCACTTCAAAACCTTCCAACCTCACAGTGTTTTTGCCATGAAATATTTTCTGAATTGAAGTATTCCAAATGTACATGACTGTGATGATGATGCCATGAGCTCTTCTGACATGGAAAGGGCATAAAGTGGTCTTCAACTTGCTAAGACTGAGCTGCTTAGTGGAGGATGATGTGAGAAAGTGAAAGCTCCTGCTCTCAAAATGCTGTATGGGTAACTGGGAGATTTATTTGTCCATAGTGGCCTTGAAATCGAGGTCTAGACATTTTTATGTGAATAACGTGGGTTTAGAACATGAGCTTCTCCTCAATACTATGACTCTATGCTAGAGGAAGCATTCAGAGCAGTGATCAAATACGAGTATTATGTTTTATACCTATATTTCACTATTGTCAAGACCAACGCCATTGGTTAACCAGATGTCAATCCAACCTTTTAAAATGTCTGAGCCCTCAGTGTTTGTCACAAGCTGTGGCTTTAGAATTGTAACCAATCACAGAGAATGTACTAGATTAACCACAATAAATCCAGTGAGATGTGGTTCTGTATCTTCTAAAATTAATCTGCTTTCTATTTTTTCCAGATAACTTGTTCAAACCCAAAGAAAGGTACATTTCAGAGAAGGAGATGCACATGCGATCTAAAAGGTACTTGGGTGCTGTACAACAGGGGAGAAAGTTGGGAAGGGGTGTTGAGGTGGTTTGGTGGATCCATGTGATGACCAGAAGGGCCTCTATTTCTAAGTCCATGTTTAAGGTCATGATTATACATCTGAAAACCTGGCTAAAATGAATGCAGTTGTGAAGTTGTATCTTTGAATATTTGTGCTGCTCTTGGAAAAATCTTAGGAAAGTGGTAGGTCTTGGATTCTGTACTGATCCAGTAATTGGTCTCTGAGTGATCCCTAGAGTGTGAACTGGAACTCTTTTGCACATTGCGTCATCACTCTGGGCAGGAGCTATGTGTCACTGCACCTTTGAAGGTAATTTTACAAGGAGGGGAGAAGTTGTTTCTCCTGAGGGCCTTGACTGCAGCCCAAACTGGAAGTTGATGGAGCGTGGGAGCCAGCGGGGCCTCAGAGGGGCCACAAGTTGGTTTTCCTGGCACTCTGTCTCTGACAGGCTTGGCGGCCCTACTGCCAGCAAATTCTCCCTGTTCTGCTTGGCTGATTGCTGTCCATATTCCCATTAATTCTTACCAACCTGACCCATACAAAGATAGCCATTCTTCCTGAGACCTGGTCTCTTAACCAAACGACGAAAGCTTAGCAGTGTTGGCCACCTTCATGCAAGTACAAAGCCATTTAGGTTGTGATGAAGTATCTAGTACTGAGAGGAATTATAATAATTCAAACAAACTGATAGTGAACTTAAAGGCTCCACTGAAATAGGAAAAATAATACCCCTCACCACTCAAGGCTCCAAATCTCTGCTTTTACCATGATTATGTTGTTTCCATAATTAGGTAATTTTGATCATCTACAGGGAACCTTTTCGTAAGGAGGTGAGAATTAAGGAAAAGGGGGACTTTCCCATTGATGACCTGATTCGTAGCATTCTAACTGTAATTTCTAAAGAGTTGCTGGGTTTGAAGGTGCAGGTCAGACATGCAAAGTTGTATAGACCTCATGCCTAAGGCATTGTTTTTTTTTTTTTAATTTAGTGGGGAAAAAGTCATCTAAATCTCCCAGTTCCCAAAGCAAAAGCTGCTATTATGGAGGCTTACAAACAAAGCAATTAAAATAATGCATATTAAAGAAGCATTAGGAGACAGAAGGTTGCCCTATTATTTTCATGAAGAGGAAAGGAAGGCTCAAAGGGCGCCAGTGAGGCAGATGATGCTGTGAGGCTTTGGTTTCCCCTTGCTGGCCGCTTCTGATGGCCCTAGCAGGTGGCTCTCCCTCTGCTATGTGGAATGTGTTCTGCCTGGGCTCTGACCCTGACTCACCCATAGAATCGCCCTAGAGCTTTTCTTCATTATTTTGTTAAATGATATTTTCTTGAAAAAAATTTTTAACAGTACATGTTTGCAAACATGATTGCATTCATCATGCAACATTGTCTGTATGTAACACATCTTAATTATGTCTACTTCTCCTCCTCGTCCTCCCCCCATCTCTCAGTTCCTTTACCATTTGCAAAAGATTTATCTCCAGTTTTCCTACTGTCTTTTATTTTGCTCTTATTATTAAGTTTGTGTGTGTGACTTATTTTGCTTTAATCCCAAGGTGCACCCACTTTCCTAAAAATGACTCAAATTTCTTTATTTATTTTGTTAAATTATATTTTTATTTAAAACCAAATGAAGATAGCTTATGTTCCCTTACAACAAGCTATTCTGATCTCTTTCCAACCCCTTTCCCAGCCCCAGATCTATCTGCTATGATGCCCAGTTATATTTCTATCTTAAAATAGACTTTTATTTCTGCATATATAATTATTTAGTTGCTTTTTAATCATAAGTAGTATCATATTGCATATTATCTTTCCATAGCTTGCTTTTTCTTGCTTTACTACTGTTTTTTTTTTCTTATTGTCTGTTAGTTTATCTTTCTGTGTTGGAAGACATAGGTTATTTTCCTAATCAGTTTGGAAGTCTACAGAGTGACCTGTTATATGGTTATGCCATGATTGATTGGAAGATCTTTTTAAAGAAATTACCAAATCAGGAGTGACAGAGCTGGAACCTAAGGGTTCTTGTTTAAAACTCCCCAGTTGATTTGGATGGCCAATTTCATCAGGAAGAGAAATCTATGAATTTGAAAGACTTTCTACTGTGGAACATTGGAACACATTGGCTTTACTACAATTCCCTTGCACTCTTCTCTCCTGGTTCTTTCCAGAATTGTCCTGCATGCACCTATTCATGGATTCATTCAGCCCATATTGATGCACACAGGGTGCCAGATACTCTCTAGCACAAGGACCTCATGAGTTGATGTTAATTAGTTGGGTAACAGTGTTGTATATAAGAACCAAATAGATTAAAGTTCAAATGTCAGCCCACCATTAATCAACTAAGTGACTTTAGTCCCTGATTTTGCTGGAACTTGGACTCTAGAAAGTCTTAATTTAACAGTGGAACACTGTGTGCCTCTTCCAACTATTTGGAGGGTTAAATGAGTTCATGTCAAAAGATAAGCCTGTTGCCTAAAAACCAAGATGTTACCTGCTGATGTTTTCACCATTACTTTTACAATTTGCACATATGATTTTAATGGTAGAACATCTTAAACAGATTTTTGTCTGGCTTTTGAACATGAGAGAAAATGAAAATAAGATGTTTTTAGCTGAGCACCATGTATGACAACACAAAAGCTCAGATTGCATGCTCTCCTACAGAAATCAGTGGATTCCAGCAGGAATACTGGTTGGCATCAGTACATAAACATTTTCTGTTTGGAAAGAGCAAAGAAGTATTCAAAAGAAGGGTTTCTTGGGCCCTGCTTATAAATTGGAAATTCCTAGTTTTATAGCAGGACAAAGACATAGTATTAATACCTGGTATGTACCTGGAAAGAGCTTAATTAAAAATGCAGTAGGTTAAAAGGAAACACACACACATTTCTGTGTGTTTGTCCTGGCATTATAATTCCTGCAACTTCCATACCTGTTACTCCTTTTCTAAGTCACAAGAAGGCAAAAATTATGTGTCAAGATAAAGAAATTTAGTGGCAAGTTTATACTCAGAATAGCAAAGCAGTTAGTGCAGAATTCCTGTTTACAAGTTAGTACTTATGACAGAGAGGAGAGGGCATGAAAAATGAGTTCTGAGTAATTACCTATCCTCTCCAGCTTGCCTATTGTACTGGCACCGGAAGCATACAGACCTGTGCTGTTCCTGCCACGCAGCTGTGTTCTGGGGATGTAGGGGAAACCCTTCATGTCAGCATCTCACGATGTGAAGAGAGCCCACATGCAGCGCTCTTCCTCTGAAATGTGGGCGCCTGCTGACACTACGGGACACGCTCCACCGCAGGCACACACAGCCTGCTACCATTTAAAATGTTCTCTGCATCTGTTTCAGAATCTATAATAACTTGCCGGAAGTTAAAAAGAAAAAAGAAGAACAAAAGAAAAGGGTGATCTTACAGAGTAACAGACTCCGTGCTGAAGTCTTCAAAAAGGTAATGGTTTCACGCCAGCAGGTGTGATGTGTGTGGCACACAGATGTGAATGTGAACTTGACATCTTTGTTTCACTGCTTCTCCAGCAATTACTGGACCAGCTTCTTCAAAGGAACGCAGTGTGACCTCAGGCTGCCCTGCTGACCACCACCCGGACCTGGAAAGACTTCAAACACCGGATTAGCCATTAAACTTACCATTATCTTCATGAAAATACTTATTTTGTTTTTGATTTTATTTTCATAAAGGAAAATACCACTTTTTCAGTGACTGACCCAAACAAACAGAAAGGGTTATAAGTCAACAATCTTGTGGCAAAATCAACTATAGACTTACTCCTCTCAATTTTTGACTTTGGAGTTTTATCTTTTAATTCTGATGTTTCCTCTCTACCCTTATGACCCAAGCAGAAAGTCCTGTGCACTCAAATGTGCTTAGATCTCTGAGGAATATTTTTTCATCAAACTTCTGGGATTAGAATCCATCACTTTTAAAAGGCAGTCCCAACACCTGACAGTTCTGCAACTTCATAATGTGGGTCATCAGAAACTGTCTTAAAATGTACATCCTTTGATGCCAGAGGCTCTCTTTGGGAATCAGCATGTCATACGCTGCAGACTAGAGCAGGCAGAACAACAGAGAAGCCCTCAGCTGCTTCTCCACTGCCCTGTGCCCAGCTCTGTCTTTTCAGTGGGAGTTTTGAGGGCAGAATTAGCTGAATAAATGTGTAGGGGGTGTCAGTGCTTACCGCATCCCAACCCCTCTCCTGACAGAAGTTGTGCTCCTAAAATGGCCTAATGGCTCCAACTCTGCTATTTGTTTTTCCAAACACTTGCAGTATCTATTATTTATAAACGTGTATCTGGGGAGTTGAGAACTAGATTTGACGAACAAAAAATTGAAATAAATGCAATTATTCAAATATCCAAGTGTCTGTCTGTGACAAATTCTGGAGCAGTAATGATGGATAACACTCAATGTGAAATGCTTCCATGGCCTGGGATGCTACTATCCTCCACCACCACCTCTGGCCATCACAGAGCCCTAGTGCTTCTGGATGTCTCGTGGGCAATGTTGCCTCCCAGGGAGCTCAGGCAAGAGAAGCAGAGGTCCTGAAGACTGAAAATCTCATTTGACATGTCCCTGGGAATGAGACAAATTTTAAGAATGCATCATGTGTCCTGGTGACACCTTTGTCCCTTTTCCAAAATTGCTGCACACACTGTCCCTCTGTCTGGACCACCTGTCCTTTCCATGTCTGCTGGCAAACTGTTTCAAACCACTGCCTCTCTACTTTGTGTTCCCTCTCCACTCTGCCTTCCAGTTGAATAAGAAGCTTCACTTTCACTTACCTGTTGTCCTCCTGTTCACAAGATGTGGGGTGGTCTGACAGTGCCATTGGGTGTGATGAGTTAGGAGCCCCGCAGCATGGAGTCAGAACGTAGCTGCTGCTATTGGCATGTGGCCTTAGGCAGGGTTATCTATCTGGTCGAGCCAGGAGAGAGAAACTACACAGCAACCTGAATGAGAAAATTGAATGCACATAAATATTAACCATATGCAGGACAGAGATATCAAGAGATTTAGCTAGTGAGACGACAACTCTAAAGAAGACAGGTCGGGACCTCAGATATAAGGGGGAGTAGTACCCTTAGAAAGGGGGTTCCCTTCAGCTCTGACTGAGAGGGAATGATTGAACCCCCCCCTCCCCCCGCCATGATATAGAACTTTCTGTGCTGCTATGCTGGTGAAACTTGTTGAAAATACGCTCTCTGGATCTTGCCAGAAACATTGCCTCTGGTATGTATGGAGAGCTGTTTCCTGATATCTTGCTTCAGTACCAGCTCAAGAAAGCTATGGAGCCTGTACTCTCCAGAGACCTGGCTCTGAAGCTCACTGAGAAAAATTGAAATCCAGGAAAATACAAATTTTTTTTTCCTCCAGCATCTCTCTAGTGCCCCCTACTGGCAAAGATTTGCTGGAAGGCAAAGGGAGACCATTCAAAGGGCCAGGATCCATTTTTACAGAGCAGGCAAAAAAGGTGAACATCAAAGTAAAATAAGAGAACACAGTCAAAGATTGGCACAGTCATTTAACTTTGTTTCAGTTTCCTCAGCTGCTCGGTGGTGATACTTGTAATGCCTCCTTCAAGGAGCTGCTGTGGAAACAGTAAATCAGTGTGAGTGCAGGGAAGGATGCCTGACCCAACGCAAGCCTGAACACTGTTTTCCGTCCTAAGCAGAGGTGGGAGTGGGAGGAGGAGCATAGGGATTGTGTGTTGCTTGTTCCCTTAGCTTGGCAGCGAGATGGTCCAAATGGCCACTGAATCGTGGGCATAGCTGCAGCTGAAGGAAGTCATACATACAGGAGACCTCTTAAACTTACTCTGCCCACATGCTCTTCTGACCCTCAGAGACATTTCAGCAGCATGGCAGGCTCACCTAAAGGCTATTTCTGGCTTTTTAAAAATTATTAGGCTTCTTCCAGGATGCTATATTGAATATCTATTCACATTCTAAGTGCTTTCTAAAATAAGTATTTTAAATCAAATATATGATATTTAAAGGCAATCTTTTTTTAGCTAAAGATCTTAACACACCTTTTCTTGTGTTTATTCATTATCTGTGGAAAGTTTCCTGACCATTTAAATGTGGGGTGGAAACACTTCTAGATGGTTCTGTTATACTCCTCCAAACATAAATTTATGTCAGGTAACATTTTAAAAAGAAAATGTCTGAGTGAAACTAACTTTTAAAAAAAAATGTCTTTAAAGAACTTATCCTCACTGCAAACCAGTGATCAAGTCCTAAAATTTAAAGAATAAAAGTCAATCTGAGGTTAAATGCATTGATTAATGTATTTCTCACTAGAAAGTTTTTTTTTAAATTTTTTTTTGGTCTTTTTCCTTTTTATCAGTACCAGGGATTGAACTTACAACTGCCTGCTTGCTAGGCAGTCGCTTATGCCACTGAGCTAAATCCCCAGCCTCTGATTAATGTATTTCTAAGGACAGTTCCTAACCGACATGCCTGAGGTGAAAAATGGACAGCCAGCTCAGAGCAAGGTTGGAAAGCAAAGTTTGGGTTTTTGTTGAACTGATTTTTCTTTCCTATTGTTGCAGAAATCATTTCAACTGCAGACAAATGAATGTCAGATAGCCAGCATCTCTTCTCTGTTGTAATTAAGTCATAATAGAAATACAATAATATAATGTTATGTCAGGAGAAGCCTGATGAATCAAACAGCCATCCATTACATATCTCTAAGGAATTGGCTACCACTTCCTGTATTTTTAAAAAATTAAAATCAGATGTTAGGAAAGACTTTGAACATTCTAAGTAGAATTCACCCTTGGAACTTTAGTAAGCAAGCTGCACTCTGGAATTGGTCTTTTTACATCTGTGTGCTCTGGTTCTGGCAAAGAAACCATTCTTAATGATGCAATAGGTAGCTGAGGTTAAAGACTTGTAGCTGTGGTTCATGGGTCAGGCTCAAACGACATTTGTAATAACTGGAGGCATCCAGGTGGTACCACTGGCTGTCTCACAGTGATCTCCATGACTTCATGTTGAAGGAGAAACTACTATTTTGGTTACTTGTCCTTTCTGCCAGCTGGTAATGGAATAAAAGAAAACAATGGCCTTGATTTTTTAGCTAGTGTCTATTGCCAACCCAACTTCCTGGAAGTTGTGTGCTCCCTGGGTGAGTCAGCAAATGCTTGCTCAAACGGAACAAGGCTTTTTGAAAGAACTGTTTGTAAAACAGCCAATCATGGGAAAGTGGTTGAAAATTCCATGTGTCACAGAGTTCTCTCATTTCAACACTTAATGGTGGAAAAAAAAATGCAGGTAGTTGAGCTGTCTCTGAATACATCAATAGTCTGATATGAGAGCCGTTAGATGCAGAATGAAACGAGAGAGGAAGAGCAGCAGGATATGGTCGCCCAGAGAGGGTGATCTGACTGTTGATAGTGAGGGTTCTGGGCTAAGGAAATAAGAGTGTGACAGATAAATGATCTGCTGCGGATTTGTGTGAGAGTGTTTGCATGTTCATTAAAAGCAAAGGAAATGATCTGTTAAATGATTAAAATGAGCCCATCAGCAGATGGTTCCACATGATAGGGTTCATGGAATTGATACTCTCATCAATACTTGGTAATTGCCCATGAATGCCCAGCTCTGTAAACCATTTTAGAATTGGCCATCACTGGTGGATGTAGCCTGCTCCAGGGATTGAATTGCTCTGAAAATCACTCCAATCTTCGGTGTGTGTCCCACACTGGGGACATTTCCCTGTCCAGACAAGAGAGCAGGCTATTGGAAAGCTGCTTGAGATTCCATCTGAACCCTTTTTCTCCAAACTCAGGCTGCTTGTCTGGGAGCACAGGTTCCTTCATCCAAGCAGATGTGTGGTCACATGGAACATAGCAACAGCTTTGGTAAGTCTCCCCAGGAACCAGGCTTTTATTTCAAGCTGTGTTGGTTGCTTCAGGCACAGATCTGATGCTGAGCTCCCGGGAGACTTTCCAAGGGTGTTGTCTGGGGCGCTTTCCCTGCTTCTCTAACATTGTTCCCGTACATATTCCAAATAGGGCATGACTTGCCAAGGTGCTGCAGGAAAGGTGACTTCAAGAAGCTTCAAGAAGCTCTCAGATCTTAGCACATCAGGAACTAGGAGTGGGGTGTGGGAGGAAGAGCCTTTCCTTGACTTGAGCACCATAAAGGAGTGCAGTGTTATTCTTTTCAAAGCTTAAAAGGGAGGAGAAAGACACAGGATCTAAACAGCAGAGAGGGAAAAAATGAGCTCCTTTAAATCATTTATTAAACAGTACCAAGAGTGAATGACATAGAAAAAGATGTCCTTTTGATGACCTTCAGAGCACTCTGTTTCAACATCTTTACTTTCCTGGCATGCATAAACTGGTGCAGCAGCTGTGACTGACATCAGGGAAAAGATATTACAACTGGCACCATGCTAACTCCAGATGATGGTGAATATCCTGTCATCAAAGCCAAACGTGCTGCCTGATGTACCTGCCCTATGATGTAAGTGGGGGAAATCACAGATCTTTTCACTGCAGCTGATTTATACCGAAATAAATGCACACTTTTGTGTTATGTCCATGTGGTTTCTTCTTGACTGTTACATCAACACTAAAAGGATTGATAGTGACAGCCACTTAACAGTCTGCATGACCAATTATGGGCTGACTACTAAAAGCTGCTGTGTGTACACACAATGTTTGTATTTTTGTTTCATAATATAGCGTCAGGTGAGTTAGGCCAGATTTAATTGTTATATACCGACATAATTATAATATCAGGTCTTGCTCTCTTAGCTGCAATGTTTGTTCAAGCAAAATGATGAAATGACTCAGAATTGCTTGCTTTCATCTCTTCTCTTTTTTCTTTTCTCTCTCTTTTTTTTTTTTTTTTGTCCTTTTCGTTTTTATTGGAACCAGGGATCAAACTCACGACTGCCTGCTTGCAAGGCAGGCGCTTATGCCGCTGAGCTAAATCCTCAGCCCCCTCTTTCTTTCTTTCTTTTCTCTTTCTCTCTTTGTGGTTGCCTGCAACAATTTATTTGCAAGATTGAGCCTGGTGGTTTACAATAGATGATTTTTTTCATGGGTTAAACTAGATTATATGGATGTTGCTATTTCTAAGAGTGATAGATTTAGATGCTTGAATATATTTTTTGTTAAAGTATTTATTTCAGATTTGGGTGTTTCAACCCTAACTCTCAGTCAGCACTTGAGCAAGATTCTGCCTCCTCCTGCTGGCTGCTACATACATAAGTGGCTTCTGGCTGATGGGTGGTGTGGCAACCCTAAAGAAGGAGAGACTTTGAACAGAAGACTGCCTAATCCAGGGTAGATGCAGTAGCGGAAAAATTTCAGAGAAGCGCTAACCACGTGCCTGTGA